TACTCTGTGGCTTCTGTCACGCAGAAATACAGGCTGACCTCTCTTGTGTCTGCCAGTTGATGCTAAGTATTGAAATTTGAATTAGTGTAAAATTATACTGTGCTAGGAACATGCAGTGTATCTCTGTGATTCGTCCTGACAGCGCTAGGAACTCTGACTGACTTTCAGCACAGGGACTGAGGAATTGGTGTTTCTGCATTTGATTCCCACTTGCTCTGTGTTATTACCTTCTCTGTGCCTTGCTATCCTTAGCTGACAAAATGGGGACAGYACTTTGGTGCCCGTAAATGTGTTATGTGAGCGGGACTTGGTGCAGTGCTTTGGGATCAGGAGCCTGCCCAGCCCCTGCTCGCTCAGTGGCACTGGGAGGTGCTRTTGAGGGGTTTGACACAATCCTGGCTGCTTTCTGCTGTCCATCCCAGAGGATCAGAAGGTATGATGCTAACCTGAGTGCATTTCACCTCCTCTGGTGCTACTGTCCCAARTGTCTAGCCTGGACAAGGTGCAAGCTATTCCTGCCCTCAGTGGAGGGAGTGGAATGCTTCTGGAAAGGGAGTCACTCGCTTTTCTTAACCACCCTTACATGGACAGTGCTCTAAGCTGCAGAAAAGATCRCTTTTGCCCTCCCCTGCCCTGTTGGTAAGGCCATGTCATGGACCAGGAATTCGACATGARTCATGAACAAGCCAGCCCTATTCCTGCTCCCTTTGCTTTTTCCAGTCCTCAGGATTTGAGGATGCTGAGATGCTCTTTGAGATGGAGCAGTGCCGCAGCAGGGAGCCGGGAGCTGCTTTAGGCTTGGCCAGGRCGTCACAAGACTTGTCTGTACTCCCACAGCCTCCGACGAGACACAAAGCTCTTCAGTAGCTGACGCTGGGTGTGATGATTTTCTATCTGTTCGCTTTCCTCTGTGCACGTACATGTGTGGGCTGTGCTGCCAAGGTATTAATGATTCTTGAGGCAGAACATGTGAGAAGAGGCAGATGTAGTGCACGGTGAGTCAGTGTGAGTACGCTACAACCTTGGCATTGCTTAGGGATTGCTTTTGTTTTCTGCTCTCTAAGCTCTCGGAGAATATCCTGGAAAAAATGGGATTGTTCATCTCTGTTTTTTTAACAGAGATGTGTGTGCCTCTGGCTTGGCATTGCATCATCACAGCATTAAGATGAACTCAGAAAAAAAGTAGTGGCAATTGGTGCATTTAGTATAAACATTATCAGCTATTATCAGGTACAAAAATTTCTACTTGCTGACCAAAAAACTATTTTAAAAGTAATAGTAAAACTTGAAGGGAAATGCTTTTGGAACATTCAATTTATATGAGTATTTGAAAAAAATACACTATGGATAACACTTGAAATCATCCAAAATCTGATAAATGAACTTAACTCAAAATACATGCTAAAAATCTCGCTTTCTTTTGCACCAAAGCATATGTGCTGGTTAACAGCTCTGTATCAAAGCTTTGCAGCTGAGATTTAAATACCTTTTCAAAAGGAACTCTGTACCATGAATGCTATCAGATGCTTAATTAAGACACCACAGGCAAGGAGCATGTTTGCAATAAATTATGGTGATGTGTTCTGACATGCTTTATCTATGTAACAATTTCTATTTTTATATGAAGCTATTTACAGATTATTGATTTCAAGAATAGGTTTGTAACTAAAGAAAGATGCATCATATTTCAGTTGCTYGGAGCTGAGAATCTTGCCTGGCTGTCTGCCGGCTCTCTTAGAGGTTTATTCCAGTGGCTTACAAGTGTATGGAGTGATTCTGTCCTTCTTATTTCTCTCCCTGTATTAGGAAGAAGGAATTTATATTCAGGGACCAGGTCCCAGGTTTCTTACCCACACCAGCAGGCTGATTTTCATGCCTTTGAAGCACAGAATAATTTCATTGAAGTCCATGAGGCTTCTTGTGTAAGTAAGACTTTTGGGTGGCGAAGATCCCTCACAATATATTTTGCCAGTTGTCAGTGTTTTGTTTCAGGGCAGCAAGCTGTTGTCACAGTGTCAGTGGAGCCTGCTAAGCTGTAAGCCTCCCTTCGAGTATGTGTAACAGAAACCTTCAGCATAATTTTTTGTTGCCTAATGCTATGTAAAAATAAGTCTTTTAATAAATCAGGGCAAAGCCTGAAGGTAGAAGTAATATCTTTCATTAGAGGAACCTAGAGAATTTGAGAACTTAAGCAGGCTTGTGTACCCAAGAGCCTTGTCTTTTTTCCAGCCATACCAGTTGGTCTAATAGAAGATACTGCCTCTGTCTACAGACCTTGTCCTGTCWTCAAACTTCATTGCATCTACAGCAAAATTTATTAAAATAATTCAGGCCTTCCATGCTTAATTATGGAAACTCAGATTTTTGTGGTTTCCTCAAGTCTCAGCATTTTGAATCCCAGCACACACAAAATGATGCTGTCTGCTCTCTCCTGCTTTAGAGGAGGGTTTCGTCACATAGAAGCTTAGACTGTTTCACTGATTCCTTATTTTAGAATGGATATTATAAAGGTAGCSTGCTGAATTCTTCTGCCATCTAGATTTTAGGGCATTTTGTGGGATACTAGTTGTATATACTATCAGCTGTCTGGCATGGAAGCAGTCCTGTCTCAGTACCTGTGTGAGCTTCTGGTGTGTTGTGGTGATGGGAAGCAGAAGAAACGGGAAGAAGAGGCTGCAGAACAGGAAGTCTCTGGCGTTGGCCGTAGGTGAAAATATTTGAATCTTGCTGTGTGTCTGGCTGGGTAAACAGAGTGGTGTACCCCTTCTAAATAGCAGRGAGCTTGGATTTGGACTTGTTTGGAAGACCTAGACCCAGAGCTGTCTAACAGTCCTAAGGCCAGCCATGCAACAGTTTTTTCAGAGCTGTTTAAACTGCCTTTTAGAGGCCTTCAGTGAGTGTGTCTCTCAGATCTGAACCTGGAGTTCTAGGCTAGTAGCTTTAAAATAAACCAAGGTGGTGATGATCTGGACCATCTTGAATGTCCACGGGGTAGATGGTTTTCTACCCTCAGAGAGCACGAGCCCTTTCTGTAGTTTGCAGTCTTGGGGTCTTACCGGATCGCTCCCTCTGCTGTGTGTGTTGGTTTGAGTCTGTCACCCTTGCAGTGACACTGCTCCTCTCCTGAGCAGCCCTTGCTGTCCCTGAGGAGCTTTGCTGCAGGCAGTGCCCTGCCTTCCAAGTGGAATGGGAGCAGGTCAGTGCTTGAGGGGTGTTAAGTTCTGTGTCCTGTGCTGCCTTCTGTCTGCCTTTGGGCACGGCTTAAATAGCTAGCTGGTAATTACTTGTAAAGCCCTTGGTGGCTGTGGCCGGGGCTATTTTGGAAGCTGATTCTCCCTGCATGCCCTGTTGTGGAAGTTGTGGCTGGCTGGAATGGCCCGTTACCCTCTCACTGTGGTGACCTCCTCTCCTGGGTGTGTTGCAGGGAATTCAGGGGGAGAGCTCTCAGCAGTGGCATGCAGTCTTTTGGGCTGCCTGCCAGGGCCTGAATTTGGTGACCTTTAGGATGTGGCAGAAGATACATTTGTAAACCTTGGTTATAGTAACTGGGAGACAAGCTGATAATGCTGGAGGAGGAACAACGTCTTTTTACAGACAAGCTGTTTATTCTCTTGTTTGATGTTTATGACCAGCAGTTAGTCGGTAAATATACCAAGAAATGCTGTGRCAATTGGAACAGTTGCTYTTTAATAAAATTCAAAATKAAAAAATTATACAGATTTCCTTGAYGAGAGCACCTGTAACATTGAGAGYGCTGTGACTTCTARCRCTGGTTCGARCACTTGCTCTGCTCTCTACTTTTCTGRAATCATTAAATTCCCTTCTGTAAAATGAGTGCAGTCATATTTTAGAGGTGTCCAGAAGCAGTTGCTATATCATTACCCRTGTAGCTTGTGGGTGGTTTTGTTTCTTTTAAGGAAGAGCAAACAAGCCAAGGCCTGCAGTCCTGCAGTTGTGTGGGTTACACAAAATGTGGTTTCACATATTACCTAATTTAGTATCACTGTAGGCTGTGTCTCCCACCCTGTTCTCCACACCAGCTCTAATGACAGCCTTGTGACAGGTTGAGCTGGGTTCAGCCTGGGTTCAGCTGACCAGTGGAGCACTACTCAGCCTTTCCTCACCTTTGGTCAGTTGGATTTGATAGGTGAGGACTTGGACTGAGCTGAACYGACCCACCATGGGGCTGCTCCATCACCCCACCTGGTGCCAGGGAATGCAGCAGGGCATGRGTCTGGCTGGAGAAGCCGGCAAGCAGGATTGCCCCAGTGTGCTAATAACAGAATTGGGAAAGGTGCCCTTCTTTCTTCACTGCAGGGCCTTCCTGAATGAGAAGGACTGTTTGTGGTTTGGTTGTGACCGCCAGCACTTGAGAAGGGGTGCTCATGTTTGTGAAGATCTGCCGGTGAATATTTGCATCGCTCATGTTACAGGTTTGCAGTGTGTTCTTGCACTGCCTGGATGTGTCTGACCTGCAGAGGACAAAGGATCATATTTCTACTTTCCTTCCAATTGTTTCTGCTAATTTAGCATCAGTTTGAAGCTTTGTCTTTGCTTAGAGATCAAATGGCCAGGGACAAGGCTCTTTGTTTTCACTCTGTGGTAAAAGTGGCAAGGTCAGTCCCAGTGGGGATTGCGGGGTTTACAATACTGAATTTATCTCTTGTATTAAGGGTAGGTTTTCCATCACCTACAGCTAATGCACATTGGTAACTCTAGYGTCAAAAAATACCCCTTTTCAGCAATGAAAACAAGGTCTCTGTAAATGCATTTTCACCACAACGGATAGGAATCTTTGCAGCCATATAGAACAGCCATCCCAGCTCTCTGTTTTAACATCTCAAAGAACATCATCTTACTCGACCTGCAAACTCAGGTCATTCCACTGGGTGCTTTGCAAGACTTCCTGAGTGGCACAGGAGTTCCTTCACACCAGGAAACAACTTTCTGGTGAAACAAACGTTGAACTTAAGCAAGCCTTTCTTTTCTGTCTCTTTCAGAAATAAATAGGTGTTTGAAAATGACAACCTCATGGAGCGACCGCCTCCAGAATGCAGCAGATCTCCCTGCAAACATGGATGGACACGCTCTGAAAAAATACCGCCGGGAAGCCTATCACCGGTAAGTTGTCTGTGTAGCTCCAAAACTAAGCATAAACCCCACGTTTCTTGGGTTTTTTTTCTCTTGTTGGTGAAACAGGAAGGTCGTTCTTACCTTCCTCGTAGAAGTGTTGGTAGAAGAGAGCTTAGAAGATAGCACAGGATTGGCCTGCAGGAATTTGCAAACAGCCAAATTGAGATAYATGTACTAGAGCGAGAGAGCCTGTGCTTTCTTGATGCAGTCAAAAGATTAATCAAAGTCAAATTTTGGATAGAAGATTTCAAGTCCTTAAATATTCGTTGGCAGAAGTTTTATAATTATTATTGCAGCGCACATTGGGAGAGCAGAGCCTGAGACACTGGAATGAACAAATACAAATAAGGAGGAAATCAAATGGGGTCAGAAATTGTTAGAGAACTACACCCAGTGTAATTAATTGTGTGACCAGAGGAGCATGTAGGAGCACTAGGCAAGGGCCCAGCCTTTTCACTGGTAGGTGTACTAAAGAAGATAGAATTCAAACTAAAAGGAATTTTACSACTCTTACTTTATGGAATCAGAGTGCAGGCACTAGGTTGTTTTTACAAGATTATATTGGTTGAGCCAAAGATTTAGTCCACAGCTCTCAAGGTTCCAAGAATAGAGMATAAAAGACAGATGAAGTTTGTATCCTTATCAGATGTCTGGACAGTTACAGAGTTAAAAACAACATCATCTAGTAATTGTCAGTATTCTGTTTGTGGGAGGTGTATCTTCAAAGTTTAGCTTGGTTATTTTGAGAAGTCATACAGTGTGATGATCAGAGGATATTCAGCAGAAGGGGAAATGTATGCCTGATGTAGAAACAGAAAAAGAAGTCAAGTTTCTCAACCTCATGCTCAAATGCCACGTTGCATTTGTGATTCACATTGGTGGTATTTMGGGGGGAAGTGTTTTGGAAGTGTTAGATATCTTTTGATTCTCCAAATGGAATCTAATTTGAGAAGAACGCCTTAGTGCATCATATGATTGGCCAGGTTGTGCAAGTTGCAGTGTCCAGGGCTAAGTAATGGATCCTGTGATGCGTTTCTGAAGCTTTCCAGTCTCCAGTGAATATGTTTGAGCAACATGTCTTAAGTGGTGGCATTATTTGAATCTCCCTGTCAGCTGGTTTGTCAGATATGGAAGCATTTAATGAATGTAACTATATATAGCATGTAAGRAGAGAGGGATTTTATGCCATTCCCTGGCAAAAAGTCTTCACCTTGTTGCAGTCATTGACTTTGTGTCATAATTTTACTTAAAACCTCAGCTGATTCAGACTGATGRAAACTGATGGAAGTCAAGTCATGAGTATTTGTAGTACGAGTAATGTCTATATTTTTTTGAAAGTATTTCCTTAACATTTGTTATGGTTAAGTGCTGACAGTTTCCTAAATGTTGTACAAGATCCAAMGGAAGTCGTGCTTGTCTTTCAGACTCATACATTCAAGTCCTCATGATGTTTACCCTTACTTGTGTAAGAAATCCTTACTTTCAGGKTGAATTTCCTTATGGAAGATGAGAGTGCAGTCATATAAAGGAGGGTTTCCCACTAGGCGTTGGGATTGGTAGTCCAAAATTAGTCTGTGGTAAAGTTTAAGTACCTGTTTTTAGAATCTAGAAATGTCTTATGCAGAACATACTGAGCAGAAATGTTAGCATCTCAGGTTTTCATGGAAAGCACAACATTGGAAATACATTAAGGGGAGGCACATTTTTGCTATCCTCTTTCAAAGAGAGAGAGGGAGGGCGGGAAGGGGAGAGAATGAGAGAACCTGATGCCAAGACTGTAGTATAAATCTGTGCTATTAATGGCTTTGGTATACCAGTTTCATGGGAGTTATTTTGATAATCCAGTATTGTGAGAATCTGAAACAACCTCATTCCAGAAGCAGTGTTGTCAGATTTCTATTTYTGGTACTTTTCATGGTCTTAGTGTTAACAGATGTGATGTTACTTTAAAAAGTACAAACTTAACATGATAGAGTATGACTGAAGTTATTTCCCCTTGGTGTTTGATATTGTATTTTTTAGTATTTTATTAATGCTTCAGATGCAAAATACAGGTGCTGGTCACAGCCATATGTTGTAGGATGTAAATTTGTTTCACTGAAGTCCAGGTATGCTCTGACTCTTGGATATTGCCGAAGCACYGAAGGTGTTATGAAAAGACAAGGTGTCATTGTCAAGATTATTTTCTTTCACTTTCTTATTTTTCTTCTCTTTGCTTTTTTTTCAGTCTTTTTTTTCTTTTTTTTCGTACTCCAGCAGCTAAAGGAAAAAAATCCTTGAAAATATGAATCTAAAGTGACTTAGAAAGGAAGCCAATAAGAATATTGAATTTAAACCTGTGACTTTTTTTTTTACCTTAAAGCTGGTCMAAGTTATTTCATGGGCCCAATCTGAAAGGCTGGAGGGGCTTGACAGCTGCGCCACATCTGCAGATGAGCATAAATGGGACTAAGTTTTTTACCTATATTGAAAAGCTAGTTGAGCTCAAACTCATTCATTGGGATTTTCAAAATGCTGCTAGTAATGCTTAGTCTTCTGAAGCGTGAAATTTAAAAAAACTTGTTTCACTGTTTGTTTGCCTCATGCTGACTTAAATACCAGTGGAGGTACCTAGACCAAACAATTTAGCATTCTTGTTCTCATGAAGTATACCAGATTTGCTGTGCTTGAATTGTAAATGTTGAAGCAGGCAAAATATGGGGGAAAGTTTCCAAAAGGAAAATAGCTTACCTTAAAAATATATATGTAAATGCTGTGGTGGCCATGAAACTTTTAAAAAGCTTTGAAAAAATTACCTCTGAAGATGCCATTCTAATAGTTGTAATTTGCTGTGGTCATTCTTGCTTGGAATGTGTTTTTCCAGGTGTTGCACTGCTTATTGTATCATAATTAGTGGATGAATGTTCAACATATAATAATTGTTGGCAAAAGTCCCAGTTGAGACTGGTTTAACTGGTGTAGTGCATACCGACTCAGAGTATGATGGCTATATTGTAATCATATCTGAATGCCATGGGCAGGAATGTTCGGAATCAAATTTGTATAGCTATAGAATCAGAAAAATCTGTTGGGGAGGAGAAGTGATGGGGTTTTGTCTTCGGGTGTTTCTGACAACTTTAATGAAATCTTTTGGTGAGCTTGGTGTTGCTGTCAGACCTCATTACACAACAGTGCTGGTGCCTGTCGGAGGTGAGCTCTGGAGATGAATTAATATACAAGCTACATGTTACTCATTCTCTAACAGAGGTCAGTGGTAAGAGGATACTGCATCACTGGGCTATTGGCAACACACATTTTAATTCGGAAATAAAATGGATGTGCAGTTCTTGGGAGGCCTTTCCTTGGCGTGTGTGGTTGTGAGGCCACCTCCCTCGTGTGCTGCTTGTTGACTTTTCCGGGTAGGGGATAATCACTAGATCATTTGTTCTGGAGGAGTACTGTCATTTAATGTGATTGTAATTAGCCAAGAACTAGGTTGACTCTGAGCCACCAAATTGCCCTAGTGTCTATTTTTTAACTTGGAGTGAGCACTTCTAGGCACCCTCTGGATTATCTTACATAGCTCTTCAGGGTTTAAATAGCAACCACATCTAGTTAAAGCAAATAATGGAAAAAGTTGGTGTTCCATCCACTCTTGTTACTGACAGTTACCAAGATCCAGGAAACAGGTATTTGCACTTGTATTTATTTATCTGTGGTTTTGGCTTAACAGAGCAGTAAGGCTGAAATGGTCTTTTTGTTGAACATACCGACTTTGGGATGCTTCTACCATTTTGCCTCACATTAATTTGAGACTTGTCATCCTGAACTTGGGGTTTCTGTTGTTTTGGTTGGGTTTTTTTTCTTGCTCTCTTGTTCACTGGCTAGTGCAGGGCATGTGGCATCATGATTCCTAATCCTGATCCTCCTGCTGACTGTTGATAGAGTACTGAGTAAATTGCTTCATAGTTTTGTGCTTCAGTTTGCTTTCAGAGCACCTTAGGGTAGTGGTATAAGTTATTTTAGCTGTTCGTATACACTGAGATTCTGGATTTAAAAAATGGTATATAGTCTAAGAATGACAAAGCAAAAGGATTATCAGTTGGTTGTTTTGATTTAATGGATTAAAGATGTACTTGAGCTTGTTCAAATTTGTAGACTCTGGGCTATTCACTGCTAATCTTGTTTCTTCACTTTATTGTTAGTGGATCATCAGTGATTGCAAATAGGTGGAAATGTTGCATAAACAAGGCTGTGAGGCATAAAACTGTTCATCTGTTTGCGTGGCTATATTTAAAGTCTCTTCAAAATGATCAGTTCATTGAGGTGGCAAGTTAGGAAAAAAATCTTTAGCAGTCTGAAAGTGCTCTTTTCATCAGACACATTTGGACAGGCAGTGTGTGGTGTTTCCRTGTACTGGGTAGCTCTGGAGGCTCTGCTGGCCGTGGTCTGTCCTCTGTGCCTGAGCAGCCTCCAGGGACCCGTGTGGTGGCATGTGTGTGACACAGGGCAGCGTGTGGCTCTCTCTGCTTTGTTCTAGTGCTTGAGATGTTGGAGGAGGGAGAGGCAGTGTCAGTCTGCAGAATGGGTGAGCTTATAAGAAAGCACAACACTTGCCAAATTAATAATAAAGAAATTACATTGTTAATATTCCATGATCCTGAGCTTTAATAGTTTCAGGGAGCAGACGAGTGTTATTTTGGGATGGAACCCATATGTGGGGTTGGCACTTTGCTGTTGCCTGGGAAGAAAACCCAAACAATGAAAACAGAAAAGGCCAAGGCTATCTCTTTGCATCTGATTCCTGCTGAATTTCAGAGGGAAGTGCTCATAGTTGTGTTTCTGGATACAGCCTCATCATTCTTTGAAGTTCCAGTCATTRCTGGATTTTCCATTTTTATGTCACTATAGTTGTGCAGTTAGACGTGTAAAATGGTGGGGCATTGTGTTGGATAAGTTACTAGAAGTGGCCAGGAAATTTTTATGCTCTTCTTTTGTTTCCCCTGTCT